TAATAGCGGAACCTTTAGTGAAAGACAACTGTTTTACCCGTAGATAAATCCCCAGCGAACCAAAGAAAACGGAAGTGCGTAATTTCAACGCATCAAGAAGTTTAGTTGACGGTTTGGAGCTTTTGTGTTGTATCTGCGTTTGTGTGGATAATGACGTGTGTTTAATCTCGACACGGTTGAATTGTATTGTATGTGAGAATGACCAAAGAGAAGCGACACAGAAGAAGGGAATCTCCTGTGCGGGAGCCGGAAGTGAAGATAAAACAGGAGAAAGTGAGCCCGACTAGGCCGCAAAGATCACGCCGCTCGAGGTCGAGATCCGCGGACAACTCTAGCCCACCGAGGAGAAGAGCGAGCAGGTACATGTGACTGTAACAGCCCCCGTAGGGGGGTATCATGTAGATTATAAATACACGTTTAACTTTTATTGTAAAATTTACCGTAATTTAGGTGCTCTTGGTGTATTGTTCTATCAGACAGGAGATCTAAGTGGAGGCAGTTTGCTAAGTGATAAGTAACTTTTACAACAACATCCGAATAACAGTTTTATTTTACTTTGACAAAAAGGTTATGAATGAATCCCACCTGTCTATCTATAACATGAAGAAGACGGTAAGCATTTGTCAGTCGTGTTACTGCTGTAGGATACCTGTTGCTTTTTTTGTATTTTTATACCAAGGTCCAATTATCCATCATGTGATTTTATACTTTTGTATGTATGGTTTTTTTTTTTAAACTTCTATACCAGGGAGGCAAACAGCACTGTATAGTAACCATCTCTTGTCTCAAGGTTGTTTTTGTTTCTAAGGAGCCAGATTTTGTGGTTGAGAGATACTGTCTTTATTTACTTACCAAATTATTTATTTATTTGAGAAGTATGTTTATTTCTTTATCAACTCCTTACATTTTAAATTGCACAGTTGTTAGATCATATTGCAGATATTTATCTCCTGTTTGTAACTGCTAAGAGTATCTTTTGCTTTTCATGTAGGTCACCAGTCAGGTCAAGGGACCGCTCGCCAGGCAGAAGAGAGGCCTCTCCTGTTCGTCGAAGCAGCCGATCGCCTAGAAACAGAAGAAGCCACAGTCCTCATCGTGGCAGTGAAGGCAGAATAAAGAGGGTGATTAGACTGTAAAACTGCAGTATTACTGCGACATGTCTCGACTTGTAGACATGTTTCTTTTTGTTTTGCTTTCCAAATGTCATAGGAACGGGATGAGCACAGACCTAGCCACGAAGAGCGGAGAAGGAGGAACGAGCAGCCGGAGGAGCGACGGAGCAGGTGGGAATCAGACAGGCCACAGGACAGAGATCGAAATCAAGAACGGCATCGCGACCGAAACCTTGCTTCTGAACAAGCTGAGCGTCGACAACACGACGAGCGGCGCAGGGAAAATCGTCAGCGGCGAGAGGAAAATGAAGAACCTAATTTTGGACGGTCTGAAGGAGAGCGCAGTGACTCAAGAGAGCCTCCTGCTGACAAAGAGAAGCCTAACTTTGAACTATCAGGGGCACTCACAGAAGATACTAACACCTTCCGGGGAGTGGTGATCAAGTACAACGAGCCGCCAGAGGCTCGCATCCCAAAGCGCAGGTGGAGACTGTATCCCTTTAAAAATGATGAACCCCTTCCTGTCATGTACGTTCACAGACAGAGTGCCTATTTGATGGGGAGACAGAGGAAAATCGCTGATATCCCTATTGACCACCCATCCTGTTCCAAGCAACATGCAGTATTCCAGTACAGGTTGGTGACTCAAGTGTTCACAATATGATGTGTTTTAGAAATATTTTAAATTTAAGTTAATAATTTAAAACTCAATGTTATCCAACTTTGTTATTATAAGAAAATGCATTTTCTGCAGTGGCTATGTAATAAAAATAATTCCCATTCTGTTTGTATTTCTTCAGACTGGTGGAGTATACAAAACCAGACGGCACCACTGGCCGCAGGGTCCGGCCCTACATCATTGACCTTGGTTCTGGAAATGGTACCTACCTGAACAACCAGAGAATCGAGGCCCAGCGCTACTATGAGCTCAAAGAAAAAGATGTTCTCAAGTTTGGCTTCAGCAGCCGTGAGTACGTCCTGCTGCACGAGTTCTCAGACACGAGCGAGGTGGACGCAAAGCAGGAAGAGGAGGAGGAGGAGGATGAAGGCATCAATGAGTGAATTATTCCCACAGCTGCCATAACTCACATTCATTCGGACTGGATTGGATTAACAGGAATGCCAAAGTGCTGATTCTGTAAGAAATAAAGCATTGAACTGAACCAGTGAATGTGGGGATTAAACTAACAGAATCTTGTTGGATTMTTTTGTACAATATGTAAGTAATTAACTTGCTTTAATCTGCCACACCTGTCTCAAGGTAGACCTCTCAGGTTTCTGTGATGCATGACTGATCTTACTGATCTCATGTGTTGTGTCAGGGRACATCATTGGAACATCAACCCTATGTTAAAACAGAATATTATTGACAGAATAAACATTAAAGACACACAGATTATGACTTTTTTTGTAGTGTAGTAGAAAGAAAATTTAATGCTGTTGTGTTTCTCTGCAGCATGGATTCAGAAACTTGCCTTTTTTTTGGTCAAATAAGATACATTCATATTAAAAGTTGATTTTTGTACTGTAAAATAAAAACTGCTMTTAGAATTGTTTTGTGTCTCTTGTTCTGGCACAAATCACAAGTCATGAAAACCTTTAGCTTTTTTGTAT